CACATCTAGCGGCCTTGCGCCTTACTTGCCATGCGAGCTTGCCGTCCTCTGGGATTGTGCCATGGAGCAAGTACGCCCTGATTGGGGTCATCCAACTCTCTCCTTCCCCTTCTCCTTCTTCCGCAACCCCTACCATGTGCTCCTCCTGGGATTGCTCCTTGGTTACTATCACGTACCTTTCACTTTCGAAGTCTGTAGCCGTGGCTAGCTTTGATAGGGCGTCGGCGTGGGCATTCTCCTCACGCGGCACGTGCACAAACTCGACCTGCCCGAACCATGCACGCTGTTCCTCCACCGTTTTCAGGTATGCGCCCAGCGCCTCCTCCTTGACATCGAAAACTCCATTCAGCTGATTCACCACCAAGGCAGAGTCAGAGTGGACCTGGACCCTTCGTGCTCCCAACTCGCGCGCTGTGCGCAACCCGGCGATTACTGCTTCGTATTCCGCCGCATTGTTCGTTTTCAGGGACGAAAATCGGAGGGCCACCTCATGAGTTGTTCCCATGGGGTTGATAACAACTATGCCCGCGTCGGCGCCTACTCGGCTTGCCGCCCCATCAACGTACACCTGCCAATCCTCTTCCATGCCCTTTCCTTCTCTCCCCACGCCTTCGGCGGCAAAGTCCGCCAGGACCTGCGCCTTGATCGCGGGTCGCGGCGCGTACTTGACATCATACTCACTTAACTGCACGGCCCACTTCACCATGCGCCCCGCAACGTCCATCGAGCCTAGCGTGCTCCTCAGCGGTAGGTTGGTAAGGACGATCACCGTATGTGCCTGAAAGTAGGGCCGCAGCTTTTCTGCCGCTACTACCACTGCTAGGGCTGCCTTCTCGATTGGCGCGTACCGCGTCTCGGGTCCCGTCATCACCTTGCTCACGTAATACACTGGGCGCTCCTCCTTGTCCGGGCCCGCTCTGGAGACGAGGACGGCGCTCACGGCGGCTCGGGAAACCGCTATGTACAGGTATAATGTTTCGCCCTTCCGCGGCGCCGTCATGACCGCGGGTGTCACCAACAGGTCCTTCAATTGCTCGAACGCTCTATCACACTCGCTGGTCCATTTGAAGCGCGCGGCCTTCTTTAGAACGCCGAAAAAGGGGGCGCCCTTGTCGGCTGATCTAGGAATGAAACGCCCCAACGCTGCCAGGCGCCCATTCAAGACCTGCACTTCATTGGGCGTCCGTGGTGGGCTGAGGCGCCTGATCGCCTCCACTTGCCTTGGATTGGCCTCGATTCCCCTCTTTGTGATCATGAAGCCCAGGAACTTCCCTGCTTCCGCCCCAAACACGCATTTCAACGGGTTGAGGCGCAAGGTGTGGGCGCGCATCGTCTCGAACGTTTCGCGCAGATCACTCAGGTGATCCTCCTTCCTTTTGCTCTTCACCACCAGGTCGTCCACGTACGCCTCCACGTTTCGGCCAATTTGTCGTTGGAACACCGTGTTTACCATGCGTTGGTAAGTGGCGCCGGCGTTCTTCAACCCGAATGACATGACTTTGTAGCGGAAGTTGCCGAAGGGAGTCGCGAACGCCGTTTTATCTCTGTCCTCCTCGCACATGAGGATCTGATGATACCCCGAGAACATGTCTAGGAAGCTCAGCGCCTCATGATATGCGGTCGCATCCACCAACTGGTCTATGCGTGGCATGGGGTAGGCGTCCGTGGGGCATACCCGGTTCAGATTCGTGTAATCCACGCACATCCTCCAGTCGCCCGTCGCCTTCGGGACGAGCACTACGTTTGATAACCATGTTATGTACCGCGCTTCTTCCACAAACCCTGCCTCGAGTAACTTCCCCACTTCTTTGCGCAGAGCCTCCTCCTTTTCCTCCGAGAGGGGTCTTCTTTTTTGCTGGACGGGGCGCGCGCCCCTCTCAACCGACAACCGGTGCAATGCGACCTCGGGCTTCACGCCCGGCATCTCCTTGGCGCTCCATGCGAACAGGTCGGAGAACTCCTTCAGGAGCCCCACCAGTGCCTCGGCCGCCTCCCCGCTCGTGTGCGCCGAGATGCGCACGCACCGTTCGGGACGCTCCGCGTCTAGGGGGACTTGGACCTCGGCGTCGGCCGCCTCCGCCCTGGGCGTGTCTTCCGGGCGCACATCAATGTTATACATGCGCGCCCTTTTCGCGAGTCGCGCTTCCGGTGAGGCTTCTCCTCGCGACATCCCCACTCCTTTCGGGGTAATGAATTTCAACACTTGATGGCACGAAGACGCCCCAAGATTGCATTGTAGGGGGAGGGGCAGTCCACGATCCCGAACTCCACCGTGTGCGTCACATGATGCACCTCGTCTCCCAACGTCACCGGTAACCGCACACGCCCCACCACTCTTGCCGGCACCCCCGAGAACCCTATCAGGACTGACTCCGCCGGCCTGACCAGGCTCGGGGATAGTTGCATCTTCTCGAACGTGGACCTGAACAACACATCCATCGAGCTTCCCGTATCCACCAACATCCTCTTCACTTCACACCCAGCCACCACTCCCCTGATTTCAAGCGCGTCCACGGAGGGCACCCGACACGCCTCTTCGGGAGTCTCGTTAAAGTGAATATGCACCGCCGCGCGGGCGCTTGCCGTGGCCGATTTCAGGCGCCTGCCTTCGTCAAGCTTCTGCCTTAGGTCCAGCGTGCCCGAGATGGCCTCGATGGTAAGCCTCACGCGCTCCGGGTGCGCCTCGGGCTCTAAGTCGAACGGGGGCGGGGGCAGCACTTCTGTTCCCATGGGGGCCTTCCCTTCTTCACTTGAGGCATTTTTTTGCTCCACCCCCTCCTTTTCCTCCTGCACCACGAAGGCTCTCTGCGTCCTATCTTCCCCCTTTCTTACGAACTCGTTCAACATTCCCCGATCCACCAGCCCTTGGATCTCCGACTTGAGCTGGTAGCAGTCAGCCGTGTGGTGTCCTCTCTCTCGGTGGAACTCACAAAACCTGTCGAGGTTCTGCTCATTCGGGCGCCCCTTCATTGGCCCCGGCCAGCGGATATGGTACCCCTTGTCCTTCACAAATTGCAGTACATTTTTCAACGAGTCGTTAAGCTCGGTGAAGTTCCCCCCTCCCCTCGGTGGAAATCGCGGCGGCTCTGGGCGTCGCATGTTTGCCGAAAAAGGTGCGCTCTGGTGGTGCGCCGCGACGGGCGCCGGGCGCGGCGCCCTGGCCATCTCCGCCTCTTCTGGGCGCGCGTCTCTCCGTTCCAACCTTCTCGCAGCCAGTGTCTCCTCCAACATGATCACCTTCTGCACCCTCCGATCCAAATCTTCGGTGGATATCACGTCCCTCTTAGACAGCGCTCGGCACAACTCTTCACTTGTTGTGCATTCATCCAGGCAGCATCCTAGGACCGGGGGCTTCACATCCTTGACCGCCATGGCTACTGACATCCAGCGCTCATAGAAGTCCCTGAGCGCCTCGCCCTTCAGCTGCTTGACTTTGAACAAGGCGCTAATGGTGAGGCTCCGGCGCTTCCGGCTGGCGAACTTCGAAAGAAAAAGGGCCGCGAACTGCTCAAAGCTATCAATCCGTCCCTCCTCTATTTGATGGTACCAATCCAACACAACGCCCGTAAATGTGGAAGGAAACGCGCGGCATAAGGTGGCGTCAGAGCTGTTGTACAATTGCATCTTCGTGAAGTAGTTGTTCAAGTGATCCTCTGGGTCGGCCGCCCCATCGTAGGTAGGAAGCGCCGGGATGACGGAATTCGCTTGTTCGGCCAATATGCTCCGCGCGAGGGGCTGTCGCACCCCCCACGCTCTCCCGTGTCGACGGTGTGCCCATCCATTGTGCTCGTCGAAATCCGAGGCCATATGCTTCGTCAGGTGTCCCAAATCTTCCATGCGCCTCATCGCGCTGGACGCCCCTTCCTCTTCTTCCTCTCTATCCCTTCTCTTTCCTAGAGGGGGGGCCGCCGCCTCGGCTCCCTTTTTCAACATTTCCACCTCTTTCTTGAGTGCCTCAAGCGCCTGCTCCTGTTGCTCGACTATGTGGAGCAGATGCTCCTTTGTGAGGGTGATGCCCTCGGATTGGGCCGTGTCCTGCGCCCCGTCCTCAACCGCCGCATGCGCTTCTCCCGACAGCCCAGGCGCCTCTCGGGATGCCTCGGCCGCCGCCGGTCCTCCTCCTCCTTCTTCGGCCCCAAGCGCCTCCATGACCCCTTACTCTCTCTTCGTGGCTATGCGCCTTCTATCTGTTCGTCTGCGTGCCCCCTTCCTGGCGCGCCAATTGTTCGAGCCCGGTAACTAGGCGCCCGAACCTCCGCGTACGACCGCCCTAGCTCGCTCACACCTGCACACAGCACGGCTGAACTGAGTCCCAAGGGGGACTCGTTAGCACTCCGACGCCCAAGTCGGTTGCCCTTTCTAGAGAGAGAAGTGAATAGTAATTTTAGAGAGAAGATCCAACCTGAGTAAATGAGGTTCACCAACTCTCCTATTTATACCTCGGGTCCGGCCGACCAACATCCCCGTCTCCCGCCTGTCGCCAGACCCACATTAAATGCGCCGTACAGCCAGGTCCCATGCGCCTCGACCGCCTGACACCGCCCTCAGTAAGTCGAGGCGCATGACGTCAGGTGGTCCCTCCTCCGTACCTTCCTTCCCGTTGTAACCCTTTGTCGCATGCGCCCCGTGTCAGGGCCCGGGCCCCACCTGGCCTGGTGCCCCTTTCTGATGAATGGGCCGACTCCTCCGATGCCCTCTTGGGCCTATTGGGCCGTACTCCACTACTTGGCCTAGCCTACCCAATTTCACTCTCTTGGGCCCTGCAAGCCTTACCCTCCTGGGCCCTGGCCATGCCCCCAACACTATCCAATCTCACTCTCTTGGGCCCTGTAAGCCTTACCCTCTTGGGCCCGGGTCATACCCCCAACAATCCATATAAATGAATTATTCATTAGTTGGAAAGCATGAAAGATAGACATGGCAATCGACAAAAAATGATTCATAAATATTTTTATTTTGCTCTTGATTGATTAGTATATGAAAATGCAACCATAACTAAATTATGAATAAACAAAAACATTTACTGATAACTGAAAGAACCCTGATTTAACATCTCTAACAAAGCAATGCATATATCATGCTTGGATTTCATCTTGATGTTTCAAGACCAAAAAAGCCAACATAGAACAACAACCATTGACCTATCAGAACTCTCGACACTAGTACATGACAAGATACAGCTCCGCATATCTACCCCTCATTAAGGGCACCCAATAACTTACATGAATACAGCAACAGTACTTTGTAGGCAAACCAACAACTGTAGTCGGTTCACCTAACAACAATACAGACACATACAAGTCTCAAGAGTAGCAAGATAGCTGTGAGCACAAAAATAGCTTCCAAGAATGAAACCGGATGGATTCTGTTTTGATTTGTCAGATGAATCAAACCCAGAAGCAAAGCATATTTGCTGTGGATGCTGGTGGGTGAATCCCATCGAATAAGTTAAAAAGTAAAAAAAAGGAGATCAGGCCTCGTCTTGTGATGAAGCCGGAGTAGTTGGATGTGCTTTCTCAAGGTAGTCGCTGGGCAGAGTGAGCAGAGGTGCTCTCTCGACGTTATGATTCAGAGCCATTCCCAGCGCGTATCCTAGAGCACGAGCCACTGGTACTGCCACTGCGTTCCCCACTTGGATGTACCTGACCACCAGACCAGCACATCAACACAATTAAAATTTATTCGCAACCCAAATCAAGGATCCACCGAAAAAAAAAGTCCTTAGTTTGATAACAATTCAAAACAGTACTTAAGAGTAACAAATGAATACCTTTCTTTGATGGGTCCTACAAGCTTGTAATAGTCAGGAAAACCCTGAAGCCTTGCGTTTTCACGAACAGAGAGTACACGATCCTGCTCAGGATGTAAAATAGCCTACAAAAACATTCCACCAAATGAAATTAACATAGATACATTACTCACCAACATTTAGATAAAACACTTGTGAGGTAAAATATAAAATGCAGAACAAAGAGACGCACCTGATTGTGTGGTTCAGCTCTAGTCACTACTGTGGGCACCGTCTCGTCCCACCACAGGCGGGCGAATGGCCTACACAAGCAAATGTTTTAAACATTCAATTTTCTAGTTAACCAAAAAACCAAAACCATTTTAACAGAGCCATATGATCAGCCAGATGATAATACTACTTACTTAGAAGATGTGCCCTTCACGAAGCTCATTGCGTAGTCTGGAACCTGTATTCACCATAACCACGAATAATGGGAGATCAGAAAAAAAAAAAAAGCTAACAGGCAGACCAATATCCTTTGTAGAAGTTCTAAGCAAGGGAGGAAACATTTACCAAGGGTTTCTTTGACTTCAGAAGAACTCTTTCGATTGCCGGATCAAATTCGACCTTGTTGTCGTCCCGTACACGGACACCAGGTAAATCTCTGAAATTTGCACCCTAATTTAGAAGAAAGAAAACATACAGTCAGCATTTGGATCATTTTAGTAGAGCATAATTAAAGAAAAAGAGATGCCATTCTGCAGTGTGAACTGGGGAAACCTTCTTCTTGGGTATGTGGCAGACTCTTTCATAATCGTCAGCATTGAGTTCATACGGACGATGGGAGTTCAGTGATGGTGATGAAAGATCCAACGCTTCTGCAGACGAAGAGAGATATACGAGTGAGAAGGTCAAGGACCTTGCCAGGGCAGATAACTCAATACCACTACTCACTTCACATGAAAAAATGGATTAAGATTGGCTGACTTGGGATACAAGTTTGAGGCAAGTTGATTTATTAGGTATGTATCTCAAACAAACCAAGAAAAAAAACATGCCAATAGAATTCTGTTGGACAGCAATCCAAATATAAAAGAGGCACTAGCTAAATGAAAATTAAATTACATTGGGATTAAAGTAGAATTTAACAAAAGTTAAACAGCAACTTAAATAAATTTTACAGCAAAGTTCAACATAAAGAATTGAGTTTGAAATATCCAAAAATGGTAGAAACAACATCAAAAATTGCTCATCTTGAAATGGTTTCATGTATGAACTAATGAACCAACCATAATTGCAAAGCGTTAACAGTTATTAGTTAATTCCATCAACAACCTTTTGCAACTCGGAGAAGTCAGCTAACACTTACCAGGAGTCCTCAGTCTAATAAGACGCTGAAATTCTGTTTCAGGTTCTTTTGTGTATGGCATTTCATCACGCGTCTCACCATTTTCCACCTAGGCATAACATAAAAAACAAAAACAAAAAAGGTTAAAAAACTGCTATAACCTATATAAAAAAGGTACGAATGCTCAAGAGCACACCACCAGGTCAGAAGCTATACCGGAGGAAGATCTGACAATGCATCTGCTAACAGAAGTTTCTTTTTCACGTTAAAATTACAACCCTCATCAAAAGCAACAACACATCTCTGCAAAAATGAGTAAACATCATGAGCAAAAGGACTTATAATTAGCAAGAAGCCAGGTAGTATTTGATCCAGTAACACTCTTACTGTACCTCAAACTTGTTGGGGAAGACACCTCTGACGAGGACGTCATGGGTTGGCAAAGGGTATGGTGGCAAGTCCTACAAAGATAGATAGGACAGTCAAACATTTGGGGCACAAAAATAACACATTTTCAAACTCATCAAAAGCCATAGATATAGAACCACCTACCAGAGTGGGAAGGGCACCCCATAAGAAAACACGATTACGGAACTGAGGAAGGCCATATGCACCAGCAGCTAGCATCCCAACTCTAGTTTGATAGTTCATCTCAATCAGGCGGCCTATAGCATACCGCCCAAGAAACCCATCTGCAAACTTTAGGATGTCCACCACATTTTCCATCAGCACATACTTGGGCCTCAGATATTTGACAACGTCCATGTATACTATAAGCTGTTTGTTTTTCTCGTCATCCAACGGATTGTCTTTGTTTCTGAATCGGTTGAAACCACTGATGCCTTGACAAGGAGGGCCCCCACAAATCACGTCGATACTACCCTAAGTGCTCAAACAATGGTGAAATTAGAATAACCCTTAACGACAATGCTATTAGAAAATTTCGACCAGCACGTTAGTCAAAGTTTTAAGTGCACTTACAGGCAAAGGTAGCATCTTTCTATTGAACCCATTGGTGACGAAGTCCCTTATAGCCTTCAAGCAGTTACTGTTTTACAAAAAAAAAAAAAAAAACTTCAATTCACAAGTACCAAGACGGAAAAGGTAAATAAAATGATAAATGGTATATATTAGTTCAAGCTGTCGAGTTGTCTCTTACCCCAAACCGTCAAGTGGCTCCCACGTATCATATTCAGGGCCATAACCCTTCCATTGAACCTAAAAGCATCAAGACAAAGAATTGAAAACTGAATCGAATATAATAGCAATGCAACTTTGATTATAGTATTTCCGCTGTGAAGTTCAATACCTTAAAATATAATCCACGGTCCTTATCATCAGGTTTGCCATAGCAAATATTAAGGATGTTCTCGACTTCAAAAGATTCGGAATCATCAGGAGTTTCATCATCATCATCATCGCCCTCTGAATCCTCACCCTCATCTTCTTCGGCATCAAAGGGGTAAGCTTGTTTCTTCTCAGGATCATCACTGCTAATTAGGGAAAACCTTATGCACAGTTTTTCCCATTCAAGAAGCAGCGCTAAGAAGTCTTCAACTGACTCATTCCTCACCTAATACATCAAAATAAAAAATCCATAAAAAAAGAATATAAAGGGTACTGTGACCAATAGAGTAAAAACAAAGAACTGAGACTGAAAAGAGAAACACTACCTCTGTTCCAGGATGATTCAGTTTGAGACTTTCGCAAGCATATTTGTTCAGGTCAACAGCCCATTTCTGTATTTAGATAGAAAACAAACGATGGAAATAAATTAGAAGGGCAAAAGCATAACAGTGCCAGAAACAACATTGGAAACGGTCATGTCTATCCTATGAGACAAAGCACGAGAAAAACACTTACAGTGACGAGCTGTTGACCAGACAATTTAGAACCAAGACAAAGGCCAGTTGACATGCCACCACAGCCAGAATACAAGTCGAGGAGAGTAAACGGCTCTGACTTTTCATTTGGCTGGGAAACTTCGCATGACTGAGATATAGTCGATGAGCTTTCACTTGCTTCCGTTGATTCTATGAATGAGGCATTATGAACTATTAAAAATCCGATTGCAGCTTTCAAACATTTCTTATAACATACAACCCATTCTGTTGAAGATGGAAGTATACTTGATCACTCTAACCTAGAAATATAGTTAAAAAAGGCCGCTCTGTCACACCTAGACGCTAGGTAATGCCAGAATTATTTGCCTTAAAATTTCACATTGAATTAACTATGAAGAACAAGTCAATGAAGTAGGATGACATCTATATGTCAACGAGATGAAGCCAAGCAGTCAATATCAGATGGGGAAATTAACGTCTACAAACTCAATGTTCTATATCAATATTTTAAACAGATTAGCACCAACCAACAAACAACGGAACAAGCAAGTTCCAAAGCCTTTCAGACTAAGCTAAAGAACATTGAGTTATTCATATATGATTATAGGAACTTATGAGCTAATTTTCTTGTTGTTGATGTTAAGTAAGTTATTAATAATTTGAACTAAAGCGGAGAAGTGTTGTAAATTTTTATTTCGTTCATTATATAGTCCAAATTGTTATTTTTCCTTCTAACACTTAGGCACACTTAACCGACATCTAGGAGAGCTAGAAGCTAGACAAGGCTCCAACGCCCACCTTATACCTAGTGCCTTCTTGAAACTTGCCTATAAGTACAACACCTTCACATTCTTTTAAAGACCAGCACATAATGATTTAGCTACAACTTGAGATTAAATCTCAATTAAACATTACATAATGTCCATTATCACAGATAGAACAGCAAAAGAACGAACCTGATGGAAACTTGACAAACGAAGCATATGGAAGTAGATATTGAGCATCACAATGGTAATCACAATCTGGAACAGGGCTCCTTTTTCCCTCCCAGTCCACCTAATTCACAGCTATGAACAATCACAACCATGTACAGAATACATAAATGAAACACAGAGCAAAGGAAAGGACTCGTACTTCAAGGGGGCGCATCACAATGTTGAGCTTCTTAAGAAGGCAGTCTAGTGGATTGTCATCCTTCACCTCTGAGAAGAAAACTCGAGTCTTGTCTATTTGATAAGCATCTTCAATGATCTAATTCAATACATAACTATTAAAAAGATTGGAAACAGGTGAAATGAAGCAGTGGAAACAAAATTGTAGGATTTCTTACAGTATCTTTAGCTCTGTAGTACCACTGGGCAGTGAAATATGGATTGCCATCAACACCCTCAAACATTTCTACAATTTTGCATATATAACTGTCCTCACCATCTGCAGCCTGCATGGTAAAATGGGACATTAGCATGACACATGCACCACCTGCATAACTTTTGCGTATGTATCAGCAACTGAGGCATACGATGTGCTAACAAAGCTTAAGGCAAACCTACAATGGGTACCACCATATCCAGCTAAACATAAGAGTAACTGCAATCAGTAATGCGTACATTCTACTGATAAAAGATCAAGAGGAGTTGAGATTAAAGCAGAGAGCATACTCATAAGTAAACTACAAAAGAAGTTGTGATTGAGGGAGAAATACAGAGAAAGCTAGCAGTCACAAAGAATATATCACCTTAACATGTGCATTATCATTAAGCTCGTATTGAATCCCATCAACTAGTGCTCGAGTGTAATGGCGGAGAGCTTCAATAAGTTCATCATCGTCCTCACTGCCAAAATATATACAGATTATAAAGAGAAAGATGGAAACTTAACGATGCATCAAAACCTATTCAAAGAAAGCAGACATTGTGAAATACAAAATTATCGAAGAACAGTCATTTAAACATACCTGGAACCTTTATTTTGCTTTGCATCCTGCAATGTGGAAAATCCAGACATATCAATTCAGAAAACACCTCCACTGAACCAAACTACTGAAACCCTTGACATAAAGACGCTGCAGATGGTTATAAACCAGTAAGATCCGTACCTTTTTGGCATAACGGTGCGGCCATCGTTCTCGTGCATCTTTATCGGCCACTGGACTGCCAAGAAACCGAGCATCGGAGTCTTCATCGTCAGAATTTCTCTTGCCTTTCTTAGCCGGAGACTTAACGGGCCGTATCTGCTTGAGTGAACCCATTTCGGCCGAATCCTCGGTATCCGAAACCTCCACTGGAGCATCGACCGTCGGCTCCTCAGCAGGCTTCTTCCTGGAAGAAGCCCTCTTAGTGGCTGCGGTCCCGTTTTTCTTCGACGTGGTGGTGGAACTCGAGTTGGTTGCTTCCTCGCTGCTCGGAATCACTTCAATTTCTGCTTCCGGCGGAGCTTGCCTCTCGTCGTCCGCCGCCACAGCTCTTTTCTTGGCCTCCGTTCTGGAGCTCTTCCGAGCGGAAGGTTGCGGTTCAGAGGGTGTGACGGATTTCCGCTTCCGCTGCGTCGCAGGCGTAGACCGAGCCATGGTTGAGGAATGTGGCGCGGTGGATCCGGAGGACACGGCGTCGACGGCGGCGGGAAGCGAAGAGAGGAGAGTGAGGGGGAGAGAGACAGACAGCAAATGGATCAAAGGAATATGAAAGAGCAAGGAGCGCGAATGGGAGAAGAAAAGGAGAGGGGATTTTTTAGGTATTTGTTGGGGTTTGGTTTGGGAATTGGGGGGAAGGCAACGGGCGGGACCCGAAATTTTTGGTGGGAGACAATATATTTTTACTGAAAGTGGATTTTGAAAATTCCAGACCGCGCCATTTTTCTTACGCTCGGTCCGCTGACCGCTCACTCCGGGGGGCATTTTGGGGAAAGCTGCCTCGGGATTCGGGAAAGATTATTTTACCAAATAAGTTTTTTTTTGGGTACTGTCATAAATTGCTTATTATTTGTGTTCTAATTTTTCACTATTGCACCAAAGGTAAGATAGCCTAACGGTAAAGCTGCCGCAACAGTGAAGGTTTGGGAGTTGCAGATCCCAGGTTCGAATCCAAGCGAGGCCCGTTGGTGTTCCCGGAGGTACAAGGCTGCTGGAGGCGAAGCCCCGTTGGCGTCAAATTAAATGCAGGTGGCCCCCAGGTTTAGTAGGACCCGCTGTCACAAAGTGGCACGTGGGGCTGAGGTTCCTGGGTATAAAAAAAAAAAATTCACTATTGCTTATGTAAAAAAAAAAAAAATCAGTATTGCTGCAGCTCATACAAATACAGACATACTGACATGGTATGAGATAAATTCAGTTGAATTGCTGATAATGACTCTAATTTTTCTGTCATTGTAATTGATTGGTGTAATTTGAGGATAGAAAGTTACATTTTGTGTATTTTCAGTTATATAAGGAAATACAAGAAGGAGGAAGGGAAGGAAATGAGTTGTTTACAGCTGGAGTGAGAGAGAGAATAAGGCAGAGAAATTATCAAATTTGAAATCTTGGGAGTAGTAATATTGTGGATAAATTACACAAATATTGTCTTTCTTTTAAAATTTATCACCAATATGGTAGTTTAAAACTATTGACATGTGTATTGTAGGGTAACAGAGAGCCCGCTCGAGACTGAGGTGCGGCTGCTAATTAAACATTTTTCAATCAGTTCAAGCGGCGGCGCACGAGACTGGGACGTTGGCGCCTATCATAATTCCCCAGCGGTGGCGCCCGAGACTAAGGCGGGTTCGCTGCCTCCCTCATCCACTCCAGCACCATATATACAACTCTCTTTTCCTTCGGTTCGAAATCGGTTTGTTGTATGGACAATTTCAGGGACCCGCCATACATGATTACGGTTCGGTCGAAAACCAAACCGACCGAATGTCCACCCCTAATCTCATCCACTTGAGACTGAATCTACTCATCTGGTGCACCGCCACCAAATGCTCCAACTCGAAGTTGTTGCTCATAAGACCACATCGATGCCCGAAAAGTTTGATCACCATCTAGATGGTCCCACTCGTATGAGTCCATGTCTGGTATAGTATCACTATCTGATGCAATGTATCCGCCTCCCATTGTAGCATGCTGCGGTGTATGAAAGCTATCTTCCGGTGGCCGAAACTGCACATCCGAACTGGTGCCTGCCTAAAATCCCGCATAAGCGCCCGACTGAAACTGCTGTTGAGAAGGAGGGTAGAACTGGAAGGTCGAAGTAGGTCTGACTCGCTGCACTCGCTGAAGTTCTTAAATCCTCACTGGACGAGGTACGTCATGCTGCTCACGTCGCTGTCTACGGCTCCTGCGTGAACTATGGCGGTGGCATGCCCAAGGCCGATGGTTGAACCCTACGCTCTGGCCAAATGTCTAGGTCGTGCTCATCAATAGGATACCGTTGTATAGGTTTTGTAGGATCGGGATGCCGGCGCTCACTGAAACCTAAAGTTGTAACCCATGTTGCCAACATGTCACCCAACCCTCCATCCGGTCGGTGGACATCCCTCCATCTCGAACTCCATCACGTAAACTCAACTCAACGTACTCCATGTTGTCGTACTGAAAATTAAATTTAAAATATCATAAATTCTACACATCTAAAAACAATTAAAACACAAATATGAATTAATAAAAAAACTAACTGATGCGTTCATTGCAGCTCCTCTTCGTGTGCCTAGGGATGACAATGGGTCGGGTTTTACCAAACCCAAACCCATGGGTTTATCCGTGAAAAAAAAACTGGGGTAAAACCCACTGGGTTTGAAAAACTCAAACTCAACCCAACCCGTTGGGTATCCGCGGGTTCATGGGTACCCACGATTTTTTGTCGTAAAAAATTTACAATAACAAGTTCCTATCAAAATTAAAGTCAAATATCAATCTCTCAATACAAATTATCCATATATAAAACACTATTCTAGAAAATTCAAGCAAATCACAAATTAATTATACAAATTGTTCAACACATATCTAGAAAACTCAAGAAAATTGAAGCCAATCACAAATTATCCATAAATAACATGATTAATTGAAAACTTCTTCCTTTCAATTAAGTTTCTTCACTCTTCACTCGATAACATCAACTTCATTCTACAATATTAGAAAAAAACAAATTAAACATGTCTCCACAAACATAAATAAGATTAGTTGTTTAGAATATTAAATATCTCGAGAAAATTAATTATATGGGTGTGGGGCGGTACCCGTGGGTTCGGGTTTTGTTGCCATCCCTATGTGTGTCTAAACGTCTAGTAACATCTCTATACCACTCTAGATGCTCCGAGTGGTAGACTAAATGGGCGTCACTGTAGCTCATACGCGCGATGAACTCAGGTCGACGGTTCCACAAATCAACCGACTCGATGGCTGCTTGTATCAACTGCTGCCCACGTGATGGCCCATGTTGGCCCTAGCGAAGGAAAAACCTAATCTCAGTCATGGGATGTGGCTGATGAGGCCGGTCCTGCATCATGCCAAACTGTTCGAGCACGCGATCTGGATGGTGCCACATCGCCGATGAAAAGCATATAAGTGGAACTACTACTCGAAACGTGTCGGACTGGATCATGGTACCGCTGAAGTCCTGGGCTCTCTCAAAGTAAGGACGCCACTACACACAAAAATTGGTCACATAATTACTCCTAAATCTAAAACAAACCAATAAAAACTATTCTATAAAACGAAATGTTATATACTAACCACGAAGGTCTTGCTCTCGTCAAACCACAACTTGTACGAATAGAACTGTTCGAACCACCACTGCTAACTTGTATAGATAGAACTGATCACCATGTTGATGGGTATGGCCCGGAAGCCATCGAAGGCCACGTGGGACTGCGTCCTCGGTAATCTGCGTCCCCGTCTCTGTATGTAGTGGTGTTGTATGAGGAAATCGCTCCCACGCCCAGAGCATCAGTAAGGCAGACCATCCACCAAGGCAGACCATCCACCAAGGTCACCACCTACTGAAGAGGACTGCGTCATTTGCAGCACCGACCTACCCATCTCACGGTACATGTAGGATAAAACAGCTTCTCTCCAGGCGAACCTCCCAGCTCTGTGCCAATCCTCCACCAAGAGTAGGTACTGCAGATGAACTGAACCTCCAGACTGATCGGGGAACAAAACACCTCCCATCAGAGATAGAGTATAAGCTCGTGCAAACTGCCCTGTAGTCTCTGGTGATGCATTTGGCGGTAGCTTATCGAAGGTTTCCCTGAGCCAAGCAATCCTAATGACACCGTCGGAAATATCAGTAGGAGCCCGTCCTAACAGTCGAAGACACGTATCCGACTAGTCCTCGTCTGGTATGTCTACTATGACGGCATCACCGTTGATCGCTAGACCGATCAGTGTCACAACGTCCTCTAAAGTGATAGTCAATTTACTAAACGACATGTGGAAGGTCGATGTATGGGTCGCCAACGCTTTACGAGCGCAACAATCAAACTCGGATCGCCAGTAAGAGGGACCAATGTCAGACCGTAAACAAGCCCGCATCGACGAGATACATCTGATAATGTGGATGGTACGTGACCAAATTGCTCGTACCTCGAATATGGTAAGGTCAAACACCAGCCTATAGTGCACAAAACTTATATTCATTCAATTTCATGTGTACTTCTAAATTCAGTTCATCTAGTATTTATATATCTAATTTAAACTTATTCTAATTTTAACATATATTTTATTTCATGCATAATTCTATTCTAATTTAAGTTTAGTTCACCTAATAAAAAAGCTATAGAAGTAGTTGAAGGACTTACCACGTTCCCCCAAACTGAGTCAATACGATGGTGCACATGTCCACAAAGAAGTATCGGATCCACCGGAGTTGGTTCAATTGTCGCAAGTGGTGGTCTCATGGAATAACTATCCATAACCCAAGGAACTGAAAAAAATTAATAAAAAACACAAAAAAACTAAATTAAAAAAAATCCGACCGCCGCCGTCAAGCTCCTCACCTCGGTAGCGGTCCGCCGCCACAACCATCTTCCTTCTTCCTCTGCCGGCGATTTCCTCGTCGTCAAACATTCTCCTCCCTAGATCTACGTTGCGGCTGGCTGAGGGAAGAAGGAAGATGAATGGTGAACTCGTCCGAAGCTGAGGAGCGGCCACCTGAGTCTTAGGCAAAGCGATGTGGGGCTGGGGCGAAGCCGCCTTCCTTCCTGGCGAGGGATTTTGGAGTCCGACGGGAGCACTGCTTGGAGGAAGAAGGAGAAGCAGAGGTAGTTGGTTGGTGGTGATTTCTGGAGAGGAGAAGAAGGGGACGATAAGATAAGATATGAGTGGAGGAGGTAAAGTAAAAAGGGAAATGGCACACCCGTCTCAAACTCGGGCGAAAATAATTTCCTAGCGGCGCCACCTGAGTTTCGGGCGGGCTCGCTCCTAACCCTCTACAAAACACAATATGTGTGCAAATAGTTTTTAAACCACCATATTGATGGTAAAAAAAATTGTGGAATTAATCCTATTATTGCTCAATAAAAAGGAATGGAAATTGTGAGGTGTAAAACTACAAGGAAATGATTGAGTTTGAGAAAATTGAAAAGTAGTATCTATATGTAATTAGCAGATTTGAGGCAGGTATCTCGATATGCATACTCGTTCTGTGACAGGTCAAGTTCAGGTTAGTTATTTATCATAAAAAGTTGGTTGGGACAGGTCGACACATATGAGTATGTAATTTAAAAAGAAAAATATTAAATTTTTTATTTTTTATTAAAAACCAAGAAACAAACTATAATATGACG